GAGAGTGATTCCTGATTTGAATGGACCAAACACTGTAAGTAACATGTCAAGAACATTCAAGACCCAAACAGAAATCAAGTTGGTAAATAATTTGTGTACATTACTGCAGAAAGTGTGCAAATGACCCAAACTCAAAAGCTGTTATTTGTATTTATTAGATCAACAGTGGATCATGCGGTTGAACTAGTCTTGTTTGCGATGACCCTCAGTCTGTTACTGCACGTAAATTCCTTTTGACCCTGCAGTGAAAGACTACTGCGATGGCTTACTTGATGAGTATCAGCGCAAGCAGGAAGACAATGAACTTGGGCGTTGTCCCTCGAACAAACTTCATTGACTGGGTAATTTTCCCACGGTTTCCCTGTTTCATTGTAGTCTGTCACTTTTCAATGGTCCATTGTTTCTTAGTTTGGACTGACACCCTACCCATAGCTTTGAACCTTCGCGGGTCTTGACCGCTAAGACTCAAGCCGCAAGCTCATCGCAGCTGTGCGTCATGACCGAGCATGCCGAGAAGAGCTTATGCAGAGTATCGTGGTCTATGAGGTGCCAGGTGGTCGCATGTGCATTTCGAACAGGGTCGAGAACAAGTATCTCCCCAACACCATGAGCAAATGGGAAACTGATGTCCGATGGGATTTTCGGTACTTTGGCAACATAACTAAGCCCACAAGTTTTGGAGTTGCAAGCCCTTTCAGGTATCCCAGTTAAAGTCTTTTGTCGGGGGAACACCGTAATGGGGCAAAGGGTTTGGAAATTCAATACTGAGGGAGCACAAGCCTTACATCACCAACGGCATCAAGTCCGAATACTGTGAGAACTTTCTCAGCATCGAATCTATTTCTTCGACAGTGGCCAAAGCTTTCGACTTCACACCACAGCGCAAGCCGCCAGGGGACGAAGATGATAGACACTCCATGATTTCAGTTCTTTGGCTGGGCTCCAATTATTTAAAGCGTTTCTTTCCTAATCGAGGTAAATACTGAATCACTGAAGACATTTGTCCGAAGGAACGTGTAAAATGGTTTAATCAAACGATGATACCTTATGTATGAAGTGGTCCAATGCAGAACCATCAGGATGCACGTGCGCCTTCGCGCTGCCCATCAGAAGATCTAGGGCCTTCCTATGTGGTAGCCTACCCTCATGAGTCCAAGCCAATCTTGGTGGATCTTGAGACACCGTGGCATTGCGCCTATCTTGATGAGAATCCAGACCAGGATTATGAATTGAACTACAACAAGAAGAAGCAAAAGTGGTCGGTAAGTTCCCCATCCCTTGGGCAATCCAAGTATGTGCCTGTGTTGAATCTATGGTAAGTTTGTGAATTTGGCTATTCAAGTTCCATCGTCCCTAATTATTTTATTATATATTATATATGCACTGCATTGTTTCAGAACAAATCATTTATCTAAGTCAATACAATCAATACAAACACTATGAGTAAGGTAATTATCCCCCTCAAACCCTAGTAGTTCTTTTGGGCCGTACCAGCTCAATCCAAGTAGCCACTGGGGTGGAAGAGCTGTTTCGTGCGCAGAAGCGCGCCAGGTCTCGATCTCCTTCGCCATTGGCGACTGGGAATACGATAGAGGGTGATGATGACAAGGATAAGACAGGTGGGACGCCGAGGAAGGAAGGTGCCACGGAGTCTGAGGACAGGGTTGAAATGGCTGAACATGTTCCTAATTATTGGGTTCTCCACTGGTCCTGGTTCAAAAACATTGCAAATGGAGTTGGCAATTGTCGCAATGTCAATATCAGTGTTCCAGAAATAAAGGGGGCGCCTTCTGCTGAGCAGGAAGCAGCTCCGCCGCCGCCGCTGCCAGCGCCGGCTGTGCCACCTCCTGGTCCTGTGGTTGCCAAAGCTGTGGTTGTGCAACCCACACCACCAGCGCCATCTATGTGAGTGGAATTTGGGGGCAATTGTGCTGAGCTGCCTTTTCACTACAGGATAATTGCCAAAATGCAGGAGTATAGCAGTAGAAGGGACCCAAAAGACTACAATTTTGGTCTGGATAACCCAAAATTACCGAATTTGAGGATACAGGGCAGGATTTGGGGTATGTTCAAATTGGGACGCGTTTCTGCAGCAGGTTGAGGCACCAATTTGAACATACCCCAAATCCTGACACCCCTAAAATTGCAAAATTTAGGGAATTTATGGGAATTTGTATGGCCAACAAATCGTCCATTGAATTTGGCTTCCCAAGTACTCAAAATCCAACAAAAAGACGTTTGGCACTGGGATTAGAACTAGAAAGCTTTGTGCTATGTAGGCTACATGAAATAGCATTTTCAAATTACAGTCATTTCTTGAATCAATCTTGGAATCAACAGGCAGAAGCTCAGAAGCACCTAGCCCAAGTTTTGGAAACCAGGATTTACACCAGGCTGAATGCGTGATGTGTTGGCGCGTGCTGTATCTTTTGGGGGGCCACCAATGCTACTCAATGGAGCCAAGTGGTATTTCACAATCTTGAAATGTTTGGTGTTGTTTTCCAAAATTGATTTTGCCATCCAACCATTTACAAAATTGTGTCTTTTATTGAAGTGAATGGCTCTTGACGACTTGATGGCACTGAGGGCATGAATGATGCAATGTGGCCTCCCCGCACAGTTGTCACAGATTTGAACTGCTGGAAAGGGATTCATAGCTACTCAAGTCCTTGATTGGTGGTGAATTTGCGTGCCTTCCCAGGCAATTGTTTTACCGTACTTGAAATCAACATAAGTTCACAAGTAGAATGTAGCTTGTCCCTGGCACTCTACGCTCAGCGTCACAAACTGCAGCGTCTCAGCTGCGATCAAACGAAAAATGACGCTGAAACCATGATGACCAAGTGCAACCCCAAACTAAACATAGAGGCTGGAAAAAATGGGAATCAAAACCAGAGGGCTACCAATGTAAACAATTGGCTGACTTGAGATATTTTGAGATGGTAGAGTAGTTTAAACTTTAAATTTAGCGTCCACCACTCTACTTCTTGCGGGGGTCAGTGTGAACAAAACTGAGGTGTGTGATAGGTCACTCTTGGCAGAAGATCGGCTCCTCGATGACGACAGCAAGCTGGACCAGACCTACGAGAGGGAGCAAGCATTGATTCTGCAGACTGCTGCAGTGTCCTGCAAGGAAGTTGGTTGTTTTATTTACCCAGCGTATCCTTCTGTTGTTTCCTTGTATAAATATTATTCCTAGCCTTTTATCAGTTGAAGCAATAGTAGTAATCATACATGCAATCGTCTCAGCAATATTTCGAAGTAACAATAATAGCAAACAGCTCTTACATGACTGATCAGCCAAGATGCTCACAAAGGCTATGGAACTCAAGGGCGACATAGACCAGGGGAGCATGGCGCGATTGCGCAAAGATGCAAAGGATGCGCAAACCCATTCTCTAAAGGCTGTTCAGATGCTTTCGAATGCACTTGCACCTGTGGTCAACATAGACTCATTCTTGCCAAGATCTGGGTTGCGAGACAATGTTGACATCGACTGTTTGACCACAAAGCCTGTTCTCATTGTTTGTGCAGACGAGGAGCGCAAACAGTCTCTCGTCTATCTTATCAGTCCCTAATGTTTGACAACTCTTCTCATGTGTTTTGTGTTATTATGGTAGTGTCGCTGTTTCTTAATGAGGCTTACTACGTCATGGTTTTGGATTTGCATGTCATGTGCATGATTCTTTTCTAAATCTCCTGAAGCCTTCACCGTCAGGGTGAAATGGATACACCAATTGGCGTACGCACTGAGACTCAGAATCTGGAGAAAACAGGACTATCACCATAGAAGCGTGAATGATGCCAAGCTTGCCATTCAAGCACGTGGCCTATGGGGCGCGGTTTGTTGAAAGAATTCCAAACTCAGCGGTTGTATAGTGCAAAAAGAAAACAGTACTCATTTTAATCCAATCCTGTCAGTAGAATCAGAAAGGTCGTCACCCTTGCCTACTTAATTATTACATGTGTGGTGCCCCTCAGCACTGGAGGTGTAGTAGCGGCCATTCGCTTTGGATTCAGCATCTCGAGGAAGCCCTTTCACAGCTATGAGTTTCATAGGCAACTGGTGGATCTAGTGTTGTGCTACCTCAAGATCTTTCCTCCAACCTCTGACGAGACACTTAGACTACGCCAGCACAATGTTCTTTTTCTCTCCTTAAACGTGTAAATATGGAACCAACACCACTAATCAATTATGATCAATTATGTATTCATTGGTGCTGATTTATGTTTTGTTCTAATAAGAAAAGCAACAAAAACAATTTCTGTTGAGTCCCACAGGTTCTTGAAAGACTTGGACGAGATGAAATTCGACCTTGAAATGCCGGCGTCATCCTCACCAGAACAAGTTCATGAGAAACTGCAGGAGGTAGCTGAGCAGATCACTCATGCACAAGAGGTGCGTGCATACTTCATGGTTACGCATTTTGTATATAACTTATTTGTCTTGGTCTGTCACGTCTCAAAATAAAACAAATAATGGGGGTCATTGTCATACAATGCTTTAGGATGAAACTGAAAACATGACGACGTGGTGATCAACACCAGGATACACGCACATACACATTGATTGGGAAAATGATATTTTTGTTTTTCACCACACCTCGTTTTTCCTTATTATTGTCCTTTACTGAAACCTGAGGGGCCCTGCTGACTTATCTGATTTAGCCCGCAGGTCACTACATCGAAGTTCCACCTGTGGAATCTGAAGTTTGGCTCGTGTCGACACTTGTGGACATTCCTCAAGAAGATCTACGAATTCAGGAAGGTGCAACAGGGATCTGATGACGTGGGACTAGAGGAGGGTGATGACCATGACCAAGCCCCACTACCAGCAAACAGCAATTCCATTGAAGCTCTAGCTGCAAAGTTGAAAGCCATGCAGAAAAGTCGGCACACACTGGATCTGGTTTGTGATATTTTTGCAGATTTGCGTGTCCGAACACTTGGATACATGCGCCTTAGCTGATCAACAATGTATATATGTTCTTTTCTATTACATGGGAACGTTTGTCATGTCATGATCTCAGAGTCAAAGCCTCCAAACACTGCGCTGTTGATTCCAGAAAGTGGCTTAGGATCTATTTTGCAGAAAGACCACTACGTGAGCACCATCTTTCAGTGTTGGCGGCCACCAAGACCCGTGCTTCCAACATTGCATTACAAGCCGGGTGGTCCAACAAATCCTTCGCTGTGGGTGTTTCTGAAATGTTGGGGAACTTGATGGATGAATATGTGCTAGGAAGACTCCAGCTCAATCAGCAACCAGTGGACCCAGAAGGGTTGAAGCGTGGTGTAGAGTATTCCCAGGCTTTCCTAGACCTCTGCATTGCTTTTGCTTCACAGCGCGCATGGACAATGAGTGTCCACCGCATATGCCAGCCAGATTCATGGATGGGGGTGCTAGATGAACAAAGGGAACTTCGACGAGAATGCTTTGAAACCTTACAACAAGACGTGAAAGTCATCAGAGAAGCCTGGCACATGTTGGAAACAAAGGATCCAAACGCAGACTTGGAGGTGTGGGTTTGTTTTCTTCACTGTGTGTCAACAGAAACCTCTGGGGCTGTTGCATGTCAATACTTGTTCCAATCATTTATCACCTTCAATGTTCGTTGCTGTTGATTGAGACTACAACGGGGTTTCCCAAAGAGTTCAAACCTCATATATCACCAAAACCTTTGCATGTTTTCATGCCCCTTGCCCCTGCAGGGACTGCAGAAACTGTTCGATGACCGGTGGTTTCACAAACTGACCTTGTGCCAGGCCACCGTATGGGTGAGAGGTTACACGCAGTGAAGTTGGTGGGGAAAAAAACATAGAAGACAAACATCCACATGTTTGGGGATTGGCAACCACTCTTATCTTACAAATGTACGGTCAAATTACATAATATATAAATTAATATATAGATATCAATTTGGGTATACATATAGATAGTTGGATAGATAGATACAGATAGATACATACATACATACATAGATAGATAGATAGATAGATCTATCGATCGATCGATGGATAGGTAGGTAGGTAGGTAGGTAGATAGATAGTTGTTAATACTTGTATACTCAGTTACTTAATTACTGTGTAATGTATGTCTTGTCCCATACCAACCTTGCTTACTGCTCTCGTTTCACTCACTGGTTTGCGCAGGAGCTATGGGAGCATGCTGAACGATTTGGATGGAGCTTTGAGTCTATCCACAGCCACATCTATAGGTTGGCGGATTCGTTGTGTTCATCGAAGGAGTCAGTTGAAGACCTCTTTTGGGAAGGGGGCTGACATGAAGCGGCAGAATAAGAATCCCTTCAAAGCAGGAAGTGTTGAACGTTTCCATTTCAACAACAGTCACTGGATTCGTTTACCTGATGATGCCTGGCCTAAAATGTGCATTCAACGAGATGATGTGATTGCTGTTCAACATCAACCACGTCGAAGTCATGTGAACTTGGGATCTGCAGCTCAGAATGGAAATGTCATCAAAACCCTACGGGTAGCGGTGTTGAAGAAGAAAAAGGGTTTCCCGACTTTGACTTTTTACATTCCTGTATTATTTTTGCTTCCAGCTCTGATCTGAAAAAATGTGTTTCCTATGATGATAAACTTACACCTGGCCGGATAGTTAAGTTTCGGATGTCATTTATATAACATATTATAACATTTAATCTTAGAGCCTAAGGAATTCACTCCTAGAATATTTTGGCATGCCGCCTCAGGTTTGCGCGCTGAGACTGACCCCCGTGTTGCTGAAGCAGAAGCAAAAGGAACCTTACCTGATATAGAACATGTGAAGCCTGCCTCGCACACAGCTGAATTACGTTCAGTGGGAGCTATGATCGGCTTACGGGCATCTGCAGTCTCGGGGTTTCGTGACATCAGTATCAGGCTACTGTTGGGAAACCTAATGAGCACTGGACTTCTCTTCAAAGAACTCTTGTCAGAGTGTTACATTTTGAGTTTTGGACATTACTCAGCAGGAGGGCTTTGTTGGGACGTCAAGGGGGTGGGTCCGGCTGACGCCAGTGGGAACCACAAATTTTTCAGCTTGGGCCCAGCAACTTGTTCTGCAGAAGATGCCCGACCACGCCTACAATGTTTCTGCCCAACAAAAGTGTGGAGTCCAAATGATGCAGTGCAGGAGGAAGAATACGCAGGCATCCCAACCACAGTCTGTTTCTTAGAGCATTATACTTCGTTTGGTTTGAGGCGTTCACACTTACCCCTCCACACCAAAATGGCTGTGGTTACGGTTCGTGTTTATATGCATACGCTCTTTCAATTTTAAATGTGTTCAAATCTCTGGGATACAAAATGAAATGTTGAGACATGTTACTAAGCAAATCCCTGTTTTACACCGAGGCTGCCCATGGGAGGCACCGCTTGGAGATTGCGGAATTCTACTCAAACGCACAGGCCCAGATGAAACATTGGTCCGGTTCTGGCTGCAACATGGGGACATCGCAGTCAAGACAGATCTGTCAAAAACGGTCAAACAACTACTCTTCATTTCAAAAGTGAAGGTTGTTCGGTACAAGGAAAAGACGGCTGGACTGAGATCCCAAATGTTTCTTTGACTCACATTTGATATTGTTTTGCTATTATATGTTTCTTCTAGTGTTCACTGAAGGGGCCCATCCCGGCTTTCTAATTCGCACGTATCTGTTGAGAAAGTGTAAGATCAGAAATTGTTTATATACGACATATTGCCTGGTTCCTTCTCAGACTCATCATTCTCATCTCAGGTTCAGTCTGATTGCCGCTTACTTCCCGGACGTGAGCGACGAGAAGAAAGAGGAGATCCTTCTGCGCTGGGTACCCCCTACCAAGGATGCGGTCTCAGTCACTTCACCTCCCAAGGGGTTTTACGCTCCTTATTTGGCCGATGTACTGGGAAAATTGGAGCATGAAGAGGATGGAAAGGATTTCACTAACCTCAAAGATGTGGTTGATGATTACAGACGGCAGGAATTTGTGTTCAGCAGGGTCGGTGTGAGCCGAGAAAAAGCCAGCCACTGGACACCAAAGGCCATCAAGGAGTTGAAACCACCGATCGGGACATTGGTGTGGCAATGGACAGCATCAGCTTTCCAAGCTTACTACCCAATGCCTCAAAAAATGATTGACGAGAAAATCAGCAAGGCAAGAAAAAAGGGAAAAGGAAAGGTAAAGACAATGTGGTCCATACATAGGGGTTACGCACAAAAGCGTACAAAACTGAAGGCTTTGCAAGAAGTCACCAAGTGGCTTTGGAAGACTCACAGCAACAACGGTGGGGATTCTTTGGTGGTGTTTCAGAAACATTTAATTTAGCCCAAGAGCACGTGTTTCTTAGAGAAGGTTCACCCCTAATAAACTAGGAAATTGTTTAGTTCCAACCTGTGCCCGCGCTCAGGATGCTTCGAGTGAGCCGTCCAAAAAGGCCGTGGAGGAGGCTTTGAAAGTAGCAGAGTCTGAGGACAACGCAGTGGGTGGCAACGGGGAGGATGATGTTGTCCAAATACCAAGAGACGTCATGGAAGTGAAACCAGACAAAGCAGGGAAAGATGAGAAAGAAGCAGACTTAGACAGCGAGATCAGTGGTCCACATGAAAGTAGCAAATCGAGTTCAAGCAGCAGCAGCAGTTCAGGTCCTTCAGCACCCAAGGGAAAAACAGCCAAAGCGAAAGCTAGCAAAGCAAAGGCAGAACCAAAGAAAGGGGCTGGACGTGGAAGGGGACGGGGTACAGAACTTCCACCGCCAAAGGCGGAGGTCCCCAAAAAACGCCTAGTTCCCTTGGACACATCCGATGTGAAAATCAACCAGAATCTCAAAGCACGCTTAGATCAGATTTCTCAAGACGCTGCCGTTGGAACCTCTGGCAGTGCATCTTCCAGCGGGAAAGCACCAGCTGGGAAGAGAAGGAAAACTTGAGAGGTTAAGAATTGAGTGGAAACGCATGGCAAGTTTTTTTTTTGGCATCCAACCATCAATCAAACCTAAGTCAGAGAATTGTTTTGGAGACCTCCCACTGACAGAAATCCTTCCAGCGCGGAATTTCAAAGACCGTTTCACTTTCAGAAGAGAAAAAAACAGTTGATCGCACTCAATGGTATGACCAAAGAGGAAATTCCAAATGATCACGGGTGACTTCAACATATGCGTTTCTTAGATGTCAATAGTAATAACCTCATAAAACGGCAAAAACCATGTTTTTACAAGTGGGGTATGCTCGAAAGTACTAGTTTCAAAAGTCTTAGAATGGTATGATCATTGAGAATGATATTTGGCATCCATAATATGATCAATGAATATCAATGACCTATCATTTTCAGATTCTCTCGATGGAAATCGACCATCTGCAGCCCAGACATCGATCAGATTCTGATGAGCTTTTTGGGATGATTTGGAGTTTAGATGAAGCCATTCTTTGCATTATTTTCCAATAGCTGTAGCTTTGCAATTGTGATTATATATACCCCCCCAAGACCTACATTTCAAGCAAATTTAGTGGTATTTACAGTGTTTTTTCTTAACATTTTGGACTCTACAACTTAGGGCATTTTCTGTTGATCAGAAATTGCATTTTTTGCAAGTCTTGTGGGAATCTTGGATTCAGAATGCATTCTTCCCCAAATCTAAGGGGGTAGGATTCAAGATTCAAGATTCAAGGCTTAGAAAAAACTTTTTGAATCCAAGGAGGTCGGATTCAAGATTCAAGATTCAAGATTCCAAAAGAATTCTTGAATCCAAGGGGGTAGGATTCAAGATTCAAGAGTCAAGGCTCAGAAAAAACTTCTGTTTGGAATCTGAATTTTGAATCCTACCCTCTTGGATTCAAGAATTCTTTTTGGAATCTTGAATCTTGAATCCTACCTCCTTGGATACAAGAAGTTTTTTCTGAGCCTTGAATCTTGAATCTTGAATCCTACCCCCTTGGATTCAAGAATTCTTTTTTGAATCTTGAATCTTGAATCCTACCTCCTTGGATTCAAGATGTTTTTTCTGAGCCTTGAATCTTGAACCTTGAATCCTACCCCCTTGGATTCAAGAAGTTTTTTCTGAGCCTTGAATCTTGAATCTTGAATCCTACCTCCTTGGATTCAAGAATTATTTTTGGAATCTTCAATCTTGAACCCTACCCCCTTAGTGAATGCATTCTTTGCAAATCCAAGATCCAAGATTCCCACAAGACTTGCAAAAAAAATGATTTCTGATCACCAGAAAATGCTCTTAAAAAATGCAGTAAAGGAAATTAGATTCATCATAATAAAAGTAAAATAATTTGAAAAAGAACCTTCTTTAATCTTAAACAATAATTTATTTCACAATTAAGAAGAAAAAATAAACATTAATGAGTAAAATACATGAACTCATCCGATAGCAATACCTCTTTATCTACAGATCAATCAAAACCTTCCCAACAAAATGTATTAGAAAGGATTGCAGATAGATCGGCAAAGAAAACTTTCTGTAAACAAAGCATGGTGGCAATTTATGTTTAGAAAAAAAACAATAGACTATAAAAAACCCTGAAATGCTATCAAAGTTCACATCACAAAATGGTAGAATATTATCATTAGAATATACAAACAATTCAATCTGAAAAAACATATCCAAGATAAAACATATGTTGATTAACTTAAAACTAGATCCTCAGAATATAGAGTTAAAAAACAATAGACATATAGGATTGTTCAAAGTAAAAATGCATATTCACCCAATGCTAGAAATTCTTATAATACCTATAAAAAAACACAAAATTAAAAACTATAGAAAAATAAGACAATTTATAATATGACACATATATTGAAAACTGATCTAGATATGCTTTAGGTGACGGCGCCCTTTGAGCGACCGCACTGTTGTCACTTTCATACATGGGCATAATGCTACGTTGCATACATGGGGTGGGGGGGGCATGTTAACGTTCACTTTGAGTACTCGGCAGTTGTCCCTGGATGCCATGCGCTTGCCGCTTGTGCTTGCAGCGCTATGTTTGGATGTGGTACTGGAGACACAGGATCTCGAGTGAAGGATCCGATGTTTTAGAAAGTTTAGGAGTTTTGATGTCCAAAGTGAATGACGCCTTGGGTTACTGGAAATCACCAGAAGAAGACAAGCGATAAGTGAAAAAAAGAAGCTTAGCAAAACACGTATGGGCATGAGATGAAGTTTTCGAAAGAAATGTTTATATAGTCAGAAATGTCGTTTTCGCTCTAGCCAAATACAAGATTTTGAAAAAATGAGGCGCGCCTACAGCACTTTCGACGCTTCCACACGAAGCATTTGAAGATGGCATGTGCCAAAACACTGTAAATAATGGGATGTGAATCGAAAACAGGATCAAAATCACATATAAATAATGCAGAAAGCGTGGTCGCCCTACAGGCGCCTTAACCATGTTTTACTTATAATTTATTATCATCAAAATCATGTTTGTTTAAAATATGATATATCTAACTCAAGCACTCCTGGATTTAAGGCAATGAAACTACAATATCATCTACATTATACTGATTTTTAAAATTAATCATTACAGCAAAAAACATATCAATTCTTCTACAAAAATGGTAGATGCTGAAGGAAAAACTAATGGAAATAACGTAGGTTCACAAGAACAACAAAAACAACTAACATCAAATGAGAATATGATTGGTTATTGTGAATTTACTATGCAAAGCTTGATGGAATGTTATGAAATCGTAGGAGGATTAAAACAGTAATTGCATTATAAAAATGTAGAATCTCAAGATGCACTAACTATATCGCCTAATCTTGCACAAAACTCAGCTTTGGTAGAAGCTAAAAGGTTTCAAATTGCTACATAAAATTTAGTAAACATGAATTCCACCAGTAGTCATTATAAACAACTACCTTACAAAAAGTGGTATTCATCAAAACAATAGAAATAATATGCTATACTCTGTAAAAACAGATAACAATGTTTCAATCCATCTATTCCCCCAATCACATTGCTGCAAATCCTAAAGGTTATGTAAAAATACCAAATGTTGTAGAAGATATTGAAAAAGCAGACTTGCAAGAATCAGATCATAGATATAAAATTCGTTTTGATATATTAAAGATGTCTGAAAACATTAAACAAAACATTAAATATAATGAAATAAATATGTCAAATATAGATGTTACAGCGCTATGCTGCAGGTACATGTGGGCAGGGTGTGTCCAGCTACAGTGGGTGATAAGATAAGAAGGAACACAAGGCATTCAGGAACATATCTGCTGCACAAAAGGTAGGTGTTGGGGGGGTTGCATATATATATACACATATACACTTGTACATATCATATGTATATATATATATATATATAGATATTCCATTGTGCATATGTGTTTATCTATACATTACATTATCCCATAGGATCCATGTATGTTATATATGGTAACATTTACCATCAATATACCCCCAATGTTAGCATATATACCATACATGGATCCTATGGGTATATATACACATCAGGATATTCCGATGATGTTCCCATGATATCCCCATTACTCGCCGCGTAGGAAGAGGGGAGAGCTTCGTTCTGCCACTTGGAGAGCAAGGTGGTGTTGCCTTCGATACCCAAAAGTACCATAGCCATGAAAAAATGAGAATAGAATGGGAAGTAATACAACCATTAACACAGGGTTTATGGGGAATATCAGTATAATGGGATTTAATGGAATTTTATGGGATGTTATGGGATTTGATGGTGATTTATAGGGATTAAGCCAACAAAAATGGGGATATGAATGGGATTTGCCCTGAAAACGGACAGTTTGCTTGAGAGAATGGCCCGTTTGGTTTGATGATTTCCCTCATTTTCCGGCGTTTTTTTTTCTTAAAATCCCAGAGGGTAACCTTCCCCAACTAGATATCCTCCGGTGTCATCAAACATGGCTGGGAAAACATCTACGAGGGATTATCCATTATGCATGATTGATTAACGGATGGTACTTAAACTGATGAAACATTTTTTGACGATGCAATGATGTGTACTTGTGTGTCTTCACGGAAGCCCTAAGTACTGCAACGGTGAAGATGAAACCAGATTGATGCGCATCTTGGCTTGCAAGATTTGAAAGCGCATCAACTGGAGAAGTTTGAGTGACAACAAAAACAGCTTCGTTGGACTAGCTTGGACATTCAGCCATGGTCATTTTTGTTCCATGGTACAAGATTAATGATCGTCACTTCTTCAAATATATAATTGGTCTTTTAATGCGTTAAAAATATTTAAAGATTCATGATTCCATTTGATTGCAGAGTCCACAAGTCTCAACCCTGATGTACTAACTCATGGAATTCGAAAGACTCACAGCCAATTTTGGTGACTAGACAGTCAGTTGCACATTATCAAGCATAGTGAAATTCCCAATTGATACAGTTAATGTCAACCCCGGATTCATAGTGGTTGATAAATTAACAAATCTGTAAATAGTGGAATAGTGGTTCAACTATAGTTGGGGGAACCTTACTTTATAGTGATTGAGATAGTTCATGTTGATAAATTTGTAAGGTTCCCCCCAACTTGCAGAATGGTAAGCCACGAGTTGCACAGTCCAGGGATGTCCAGGGCCTTGATGGACTCATCAGGCTTTGCCATTATAAATCCCGCATATCAATGGGGGAATATATACACTGGTTGGTGATGGTTGGTGGATGTTGGTGGTTTGGAACATTTTCCATATATATTTTCCATATATTGAGAATAATAATCCCAACTGACGAACTCATATTTTTCAGAGGGGTAGGTCAACCACCAACCAGTACATGTATGACAATCATATCGCATGATTAAACATGATGTCTCTTGGTTAAAATCCCATCATTCCCCCATTTCGTGCGAAGCGTGGCGTGATCGAAACTCCCACATGTAGCTAGCTCGATGATGACACCAGAGGGTAGTATCCTAATTATGTTGCCA